CTTCTAAGGAAGAAGAGGCTGCACGGAGTCCCTGGGGAGGCAGGCTGCTGGGCGCCAGGGCTCCAGGGAATGGGGTCTGTGTCTGCGACCCCCGGGCCAGGACTGCTGGACTTGCCCACCCCTGAATGGCAGAGGACAAGGCCTACAGGGCCCACCCTCAGCACTTTGCATTGTGCGAGAGAAGGGGGACTGATAATTCCCCTCCACGGGTCAGGGTAGAGACTTGGTCTGATCTAACTGGAGGGAAAAAAAAGCAATGCAGCGTTCCTCTTACACCTGGCCTTGTGATTGCAGATCAACAACTGACCTCCCATCCCTCGCTGGCTTGGCTCCCTTGCCTCATCCCTGACTCACGGAGCGTCCCTAGCAAGAGCACAGAAATATATGTGGAGGCAAGAGGGTTGGGCTCCTGCCCAAGCTCTGCTAGTGACCTGTTATATGACCCTGAGTAAATTCTTTTTCCATTGAACAGGGAGAGACAGTGGGCCAGGGGGCCTCTGCCAGCTGACTTGAGGATTCTAGTGGGTTTGACTGAATCATAGCCCATTATAAACAAGGAAGCCCAGCCCAGAGGGTTTAGGTGGCTTGTCCAAGTTTGCAGAGCAAGTAAGAGACAGGGAAGGACCCACGCTCTGGTTAGGGGTTCAGAGCGTGAATTCTGGAGCCAGACTGCTTAGGTTCGGATCCTGGCTTTGCCATCCACCAGCTGGACGACTTTGGGCAAGCTTCTTAAATTATCTGTACCTTCATTTCCTCATCCACAGAACAGGTGTAATATTAGTATCTGCATTAGGGACTCATTCTGAGGATTAAACTCAACACTGTACTAAGCACTGTGGAGTGCTGCCTCATAGTGAGTAGTCATAGCAGCCATTGGTCCAATTCCAAGCCCAAAGCAACTCTCACTACCCAAGCTTGTCCTTGTAGAGCCTGTCACTCCAGCAAAGGCCCTGTGCCTCTGTCAGTCTGAGAGTTCCCCCCTGTGCCGCTGATTAACAGGACTAGGCTGAAAACAGAGACCCAGGGTGGAAAGGACCAGCTGAGGCCCATGTCCCCAAATCCTTCCCAGGAGAGGGAGTGGGGATAAAGGAAAGAGCTGTAAACAGAACCGTCTTCCTTCCTTATCCTCAGATCCCAAAATAACACTTGTCTGCCCCCACCCTGCCCAGCTGGCAGAGGTGCAGTCTGAGTAAGGTGCCATTTAAAGATAACCTGGCTCTCCCCGTCTGCCCCACTGGTTGGGCTGGGCGCCTCCAGGCACTGGCTGCCTGGAACTGCTGCTGCTCCCACAGCCCCCTAGGCCAGGCTGTTCACAGCTGCCACCCAAATGAGCCCATCTAACCCCTCCTTTCCTGAGGCCCAGGCTGTAGAAGTTCTGCCCAGGTGCCCTGGGCCTCTGCAAAGAAGCAGAAGCCTGGTATTCTGGGGACAGGCCCTGCAAAGGCATTGTTAAATAGTGCTCCTTCCTACCAGGAGCTGGCTGGCCTGCAGCGAGGCTGATCCCTACTGTCCTTCGCCCACCCCCAGACCCCTCCCACCAAGAGGACAAACTTGAGTCACAATCTTCCATTCGCACTGAGAATAAAGCTAGACACCAGGGAAGACCTTAAGTTGCAAGAGAGATGTTTGTTTATTTGGGGACAGTGACAGCCAGGAGATCTGGTTCCTTCAGTGCCCAGCTAAGCCATGAGATCTTGGCCAAGTTTCTGGCCCATGAGAGGCATAGGCAATAACAGCAGGACCCAAGTCTTCTAAATCCAGGTGGGTTCCCCTTCCTGACAGCAGAGGGTGTGCAGTGAGTCTCTCCGTATTTGGAGGTGAGGGAACCCGGGCAGGGCAGGGGAGGTCCCGCAGAGCCTAAATAAGTTAGGAAGGGCGTCCAGAAGAGGAGCTGCCCTGTCTGGGGCGCACTTGGGGACGGGAGGACTTCTAAGAGGCTCTCCTGGGTCTTGCTCTCCCTAGCCCTGGGTTGCAAGGAAGAACCAGTGTGTGTTTGACACCCTAGAGTGTAATGAGATTAAATCAACGAAGAAAGGGCTCAGGGTCCTTGGGAAGAAAGGAATGCGTAATTACCTATCTGCAGGAGGTGACTGTGCCAGAGGACAGCTGGAAGCTGGAGGACTGGAGAAAGCATGGGACTAACCTGGAGGCAAGTAGGGGAGAGGAAGGGAGCTTCCCTTATCTCACAATGGCCCAGAATCCCCCTGAGCCAGACAGCTGGGTGGGGCAGAAGCCTCTGAAATGGACACTCCAGGGCTGTGGTCCTGGGAAGGCAGGAAGGCCCTGGGAGAGCCCAGGCCTACTCAGTTGGCTCAGATTTGAAGAGGAGCAAGAGGGGGTTGGGGAGGAGCCCTGGGCTGGTCATTCAGCCCAGCGGTGAGATGACTCAGCAGCACGCTTGCTCGCTAGCTCGCTCGGGTACCACAGCCCCAGGCAAAGCCCAAACTGGGTCACAGGCATGGTCCTAGGCCCTCCTCTCTGCCCGGCTTCCGCCTCCCTTCCCCACTCTAAATATCCCGCTCTCTTCCCACATAGACTCCTGCTGGGGATAAGGGCTGGGTATCAAAGTTTCCCCAGGTACGTGCTCTGTATGCCAAGCATAGCGCGGAGCACTTTAGACATGTTCCAGGAGAGGCAGGCGGTGGACTGCAAGGGCCTGGACTCAGAAGTCACAGAAGCTCACCTTCAAATCCCAGCTGGGCAAGCTGGGAAAATTCACTTCCGGCCCCTGTACAAGGGGCAAATTCATCTGCACTATTAGCTGCTAGCAGCACTATGATCATATTCCAGGCCCCCTGGGGAGAGCCTGCTACTGGCAAAGTTCATATTTTGTCTCATCTGATCAGAGATTAATTACTGTTTTCCTCTCCTTTTCTAGGAAAGTGCCTCTGCCCCTCACTGGGGCCTAGGAGACTGGCGTGGTGAGGGGAAGAGTCTCCCAGGTGCCCTGAGTGGATGAGGTGCAGTAAAGCCTAAAGATTTGGACAACCCCTAAAAGGCCTAAAAGATTTGGACAACCCCCTTCTCAGCGCCTCCAGTCCCTCTCCAGTGCTCCCACCCAGCCACTTCCCACTCCTGCCCAGTTCCATGGCCTCCGCCAGGACTCAGGTCCATCATCAGGACAGAGTTAGCCTCAACCCATCTCCAGGCTCTCCCAACCCTGCCCATTCTCCCCCGGGCCCACCCCCAGCCCTTCCCCACCCTCTGTCTCAGTCTCAACACTCCCATCCTGCGGACTGAAAGGTTTCCCTCGAATTTTACAGTTAGAAAATCACTGATGGTGTTGTGAGAACTGGGTGTCAGGGCCAGCTCGAAGCCTCAACCAGGGCGAGGTTTGAGGAGGACCTGTTGGAAAGAAAAGGGGAAAAGGAGAAAAGCAAGAAAGTAGCTAGAAAAGGATGAGTTTCAGGAAGCATGTGGCTTGGTTTTGTTTGGTCTTGTTTTGTTTTATCAGGAGAGACTTGAGATTTCCGTTTTGCTCTGGGGAAAGAAGCTGATAAGAAAGGAGAAACTAAGGACCCCGAAGAAAAGAGATAAGGCGGAGAGATCAGAGGGGGTCTAGAGTACACGTGGGAGGATCAGCCTTGGGACTGGAAAAGAGACAGCCCTCGCTCTGCACCTCAGTCTACCTACAATCATTACCAATGGCTAGGGCTGGGTGACAGCAGTGAGCACAACCGCGACAGGATCGCACACTCGTGGAGCTTGCGCACTTGGATGGCAAAGGGCACACTGTCTAAGGGGTGGTCAAGGGCGAGATGTCGCTCTTCACCCCTCTGCTGCTGTGTTTCTGACTGGGTCCTGCACGGGTACTTATAATCACTTGCCCCCTCCTTCCCCCATCAGACTACCAGCAACTACCTGGGGCAGGAACCAGTCCTCTTCTTACTCCAGTTCTTAGCTCCTCTCTTACTCCAGCTCTCAGGTTGGGTGTGCTAGCACACACATGCGCCCCAGACAGGGCAGCTCCTCTTCTGGACGCCCTTCCTAACTTATTTAGGCTCTGCGGGACCTCCCCTGCCCTGCCCGGGTTCCCTCACCTCCAAATACGGAGAGACTCACTGCACACCCTCTGCTGTCAGGAAGGGGAACCCACCTGGATTTAGAAGACTTGGGTCCTGCTGTTATTGCCTATGCCTCTCGTGGGCTGTATTATCTCTGGCAAGTCCTACAACTCCCTTGAGTCCTACTTTCTCCATCTGTACGATAGGATCGATGAGAACACCTGTCACCTGTCAGCTTCACTGAGCTCACCGAGTTGTGGAAACCCTCTCATGAGCTACCTGTCAAAGTGCTTTGTAAGGGACTGCACCAAGGCCACAGCTTGAGGTACGCTTTCAGTTTGGTCCCTGGAGTGACAGCAGGTCCTGGTCAGGGTAGCCCAGGTAGCAGCGGGCATAGTGACATATATGTCACATACTGACAGTATAAATTTATAAGGGGATTAACTGGCTCCCCCCTTCCACCAAAACCACTGTCTCCACTGTAATTAACTCTTGCCCTCCCTATGCTCCCCTAGCCTATGCACTATTTCTGCAGGACTGCTTTATGAAAAAAGGAGTTTGTGAAGGGTGTCTAGCTGGATGGGCTCCAGGTGGCCCCAGCCTGTCATCCCGACTGATGAGGCCATAGGCTGGTGCATGCCAGCGCTGTCCACTCAGAGGGGGAAGGGGCCATCTCAGGGAACCAGTGCAGCTGGCAGAGTCCAGGCCTGTGGGCACCGCCGGGGACAAAGCCGCTCTGAGCTGCCTCTCAATGGGTGCCTGTGTTCTGGGAGTGGGGGCGGGGTGCTCTCAGGCTCTTTTCCCTTCGCCCCCCACCCCCCCGCCGCAGGACGTCCTGGACTGGACACTGGGGCAGAGGAAGTCCTGCACAGGGAAAGGTCCAGCCCTGCCCTTCTAGGGTTGGCCCATGTGCCTGGGCACTCGGAGACAGCACCAGGATCGGAGCTTCTGGGGTCCGGGATACTGATTGGGCCCAGGCCGCGGGGGCGGGCCCAGGGCACGGCCAGGCCTCCCTGGCTGCAGAGTCCAGCGGCCCCGCTGTGGCCTCCGTGGCTCGGGCAGCAGGAGCCACGGTGGAGCCGGGGGCGGGGTGCAGGGTAGCACCGGGCTGGGAGAGGGGCGCCCAGCTCCCGAGCCCCGGGCTGGGTGGGCGTCGCCGGTGGGTGGCCCCCTGGGCCGGGCGCGGAACGTGGGGGGCAGGGTTACCGCGGCCCGGGCCTTAGTCCCGCCCTCGCAGGAGGCGGGAGAGGAAACCGAGCCTGGCGGCGGGCTGGGCCCCGCAGCAGCTCCCGCCGGCCGGCTTCGTCCTGCGCTCCACGCTCCCGGCGGCCGAGCTCGGCCGCGCCCAAGCCCCGCCATGCGGCCCCCGGGGCTCTGCGGGGCCGCGCCGCTGGCCGCGGCCGCCCTCCTGGTGCTGGGGGCTCCCCTGGGTAAGGGGTTGGGCGGCGAGGCGGCGGGGTGGGCGCGGGGCTCCGCTGGGTGCTGCTGGCCCGCAGGGAGCGGGAGGAGACTCGGCGGGGAGGCTGGGCCATGGGAAGCTGACCCGGGGCGCGGAGTCAGCCGCGGAGGGAGGCCGCCGGGGCTCAGGGGCGGAGCCCCTCGGGGTGGCGACGAGGGGCAGCTCCCGCGACCCGGGAGACGGCGGGCCGGGAGCCTGGGGGAGCGGGGTAAGGGCGGACGGAAAGCTGGCCCGATGGCCATGGGCCCCCCACCCCAACCTGCCCGCAGCGCTGGCCGGCGAGGACTGCCTGTGGTACCTGGACCGGAATGGCTCCTGGCATCCAGGCTTTAACTGCGAGTTCTTCACCTTCTGCTGCGGGACCTGCTATCAGCGGTACTGCTGCAGAGACCTGACCTTGCTTATCACCGAGAGGCAGCAGAAGCACTGCCTGGCCTTCAGGTGGGCCCCCGCCTCCTCCCCCGCCCCCTCCAGCCTCCTCTCAGGAGGCCTGCCCTGGCCTCCCCTACTCCCTGTCTCCTTCCTGCCCCTCTCCATGTCCACCTCCACAGCCTCAGCCCACAGCCACAGCCCCAGCCCTGCGACCTAGGACGCAGCCTGGTGACAGAGTGGGTGTTGGTGCTGGGGCCTGGAAGCTCTAGGAAAGGCGTATTAACCCACTTGCGCTTGGTGGAGGGTGGGTACATGGGGCAGCTTTGTGGGAGAAGCTCTGGCAAGAAGGCAGGAGACGTGGGTTTGATTCCCAGGTCCACTTCTCCTTAACCGTGTCATTCTGGGGAAGGCTCGTCCTCTCCTGGGTCATTATTTCCTCTTCACGAAATGCAGGGGTTGCCAAACTAGTGGTTTCAAACTTTTTGCAGGGAACTGCTAATATAGAAAAGGTGTAAGGAGACTGCGTGTTGGGGGGTTGATAGAAAGGGGCTCTAGATTATTTCTAAGGTGCCTTTCAGTGCTAACATGTTCAAAGTCTAACCAATTAAGTTGTAGACGTAGGAGCAACGAAGTGGGGAGCACACTACAAATCCCGGCATGCCTCACACTAGGCAGCCAGGCAGCATGGTCTTCTGGGACATGGAGGTCCCCTAAGATCTTCTCCACAGGGACTGGGCAGAGCCCCTCAAGGAACCCCAAATCTCAGCTTGCTGTGGCCCCCTGCTGGCCAGGAGTTGGAGCACAGTGTTATGGTCACCATAATGAGGAGTCCCTCCTATGAGTGTTGGAAGGTGAGGGGACTGTTCTTTGTCTAAGTCCCAAGACCATAGCAGGCATCGCCTCGGCTGTGATCCTCTTTGTGGCTGTGGTGGCCACCACCATCTGCTGCTTCCTCTGTTCCTGCTGCTACCTGTACCGCCGGCGCCAGCATCTGCAGAGCCCATTTGAAGGTATGTACAGTAACGGGCAAGATGAATCCGATAGGCTGGGCCGACCCCCGTGGTGGGCACCAGAGAGTTCAAGCGTGTGTGAACTGTGTAGCAGCGAGTGCTTCTGTGTACATACACCTGCCAGCCGGTAACCCCAGAAATAAGAACGTGGCCAGGGCTCTATGTGAACCAGCAGACTTTGTGTCCGCAGACATGCGTGCATGGGAATATTCAGATGTGCGTGGCAGGCCGTCTGTCAACATGTGTGTGCATGGGCACAGGCATGCACGTGACTCTTGGAAAGGACACGGGATGGGGTCTGTAGCCGTGAGCATTAATTGCATGAACCCTAGTGTACAGTGGAATGAATGTATGCCTGAGTGCTGACATGTGACCACACACTTGCCCAACCCTGTTGGGTGTGGGAATGGTGACGCTGCACGGGGGATCAGAATGGGAGGAAAAGGCTGAAGGCGGACCCCCTGAGTGGCAGCTGTGCTAGATAACAAGATACCAGACTCTGGAGCTGCCCTATCCTTGCCTAAGTGGGACATTCCCCGGGCTCTGTTCTCTGGCTCGTGAGGCCTCTGAAACCTGCTGAGGGGAGCAAACCTGCTAAACACAGACTGACTCGCGGGGACCACGTGCACAGCTCCCCGCTCAACTCTGCCAGGCAATGTCTGGGAGGCAGAGGCAGCAGGTGGCCAGCCTGGAGCCTCCAGAACAGACAGCAGAGGCCCAGGGGTGCTTACCTTGGTTTCCGGGGCAGGAGGAGGAGGTTTCGCCATGGATGTGGAGTTTTGATGCTGATCCTTGTCCCCCACCTAGGCCAGGAGATTCCAATGACAGGCATCCCAGTGCAGCCAGTGTACCCATACCCCCAGGACCCCAAAGCTGGCCCCGCACCCCCACAGCCTGGCTACATGTACCCTCCTAGTGGTCCTGCTCCCCAGTATCCACTCTACCCGGCTGGGCCCCCTATCTACAACCCTGCAGGTAAGTGAGCGATCTGGAGTCTCTTGCTCCCGCCTGCCCCCTACCTCTGTGCTGGGACCTCCGCTGCTCTTTTCTTACCCTGAGTCCCTCTCCCAGACTTCTGCCTCAGCTGGAAACATCCAGGCTACCTCTTCCCCATGTATCCTTCATGCCTCTGGAATTGGGGGTCACTTCCCAACCTCCCATGCCCCCCCCCCCACCCTCATCCTGTCTCCTTGGCTTTCAGCTCCTCCCCCCTATATGCCACCACAGCCGTCCTACCCAGGAGCCTGAGGAACCAGCTGTGTCTCTGCTGCCCCTTCAGTGATGCCCTTCTCCTGTATCTGCATCTGGCCCTGGGGGTGGGCGAGGGTCCTCGACTCCTCAGGCCCAAGACCAAGCCAAGCCCTGGGTCTTGCTGGTGATGGAGCCCCAGGGAAGTAGACCAGGAGCTGAGCTGGAACTTGGCTGTGAATGAGGGGTGGGTGGGGAGGGCTTGGGATCACTGGACTATTTTTACCTGGGACAAGAGAAGGACATGAAAGCCTGGGTCAAGACCCCTGCTTTCTCAGAGTCCGTCAACTTCCAAGATCCCAGCCAGGAACGCTGGGGCCCTCCCTGTTTGCTCACTGTGGGCCGGGGCAGAGCAGGGAAAGGGCTCCATCAGCAGTGGGCGGAAGCCCTGCTCCCGGCTGCCCCACTGGCCACAGGGCTCCGACTGCTGGATTAAAGCTGTAAAGCTGTAACTCATGTCAGTTGCCTCATTGGGCCCATCCACACCTTCCAGGAGCTCTGCCTGCAGCTGGGCCCTGAGTGCTGCCAGTGCCACATCCTCCAGGCTGGGAAGGCAGGCACCAGGGCTGGAGCCCAGCATCCCTGCTCACCTGCTTCCGCCAGCAGAGCCGCCCCCAGGCTGAGGGCTCCTTGAGCTGGTTCCCAAAGCCAGTAAGGGGGATTTTGCCACAGCTGGGAAGAGGGGGCTTATTTGCATTACAGAGGTTGCCCACTAGAGGTCAGGCCCCTGTGACATGGAAGGCACTGCACATTTGTACAAAGGCACCTTCCCCTTTCTGGGGACACTTAGCTTCATGTGTGGGTCCCGACACTGGCTGATCTTGGGTGTGTCTCTGAGCCCAGTTTTCTCAGCTATCCCATGGAAATGATGCCTCAGGGCTGTCATGAGGGTGAAATACGTACATGAAATTGTGACCCCTGTCTGTCCTTCCTGATCTGAGGGGTTCTAGGAGCCAAGCGGAGGGATTGGGCCGCCCAAGAGGTTGGTGCGAGGTGTTCTGTCGGCTGCCTTGGATCATCGGGACTAAGACATTAGACCCCCACTGAGCCAAGCAGACGCCCCCACCCTTGGAGATGCTTGGGCACCAAGCTCTACCCTCTTCCCTTGCCTTGTTCCCTGAGGACCTGGGTCCTCATGGTCTCAGGACTTGTCTGGTGACAGATCTAGGGAAAGAAGTTTTAGTTTTTAATTCAAGTGGGAAAAGTGCCAGCGTGGCTTGGCAACACCACCTCCAACCAACGGTCTCCTTTCCCCAACACCCATATGCTCAGCCCCTCCTTCCCTCACCCAGGGTCCTCCAGCCCCACAGCCTTATCCTCCAGCTGGGTTCTGCATATGGCCACTGTGCTAACCATGCCCTCTGGTGCCCACAGAGTGTCAGGGAGGCTCTCGTCACACAGGCTGGAAGTGGGGGGGCTCCTCGGCCAGCATCAGAGACAGCTGTAAGCAAAGCTAGTAACAGCTATGGGCAGAGCCTCCGTCCAGGGAGTCACAGCTTCCTCCCATCCTCATTAAAATTTCAGGGGGCCCAGGAGTCTGCCCCTGGACCTGACCAGACAGAGAGGGAAAGTTAATGCTGAGGGGCGGGCAGAGCTGGGGCCAGAGCTGCAAATCCACCTTCTCTCTGAGGGTGGGAGCAAGCGGTGGGAGCTGTGGTCACACAGAGTCCTGGCTTCCGGTCTGCAAATTCTGCCTTCATTCACACTTCAGGAGGGGGTCACCGGCTCATCTCAAGGTTTGGAACCCAGTTAGTTTTCTCGCTCTCTGACTCGCTCTCTCGCTCTCCCTCTCCCTCCTGAAGCTGAGAGGTGGAGGACATTGGCAGGATAAAGTTTCTGAGTTTCCCTAAGAAAAGAGGTGTAAATGAATGCACGGCCATGCCCAGCTGAATTAATTATCCTTAAATCCACAATCTGGGGCCAATTAAAAATTGCTTTGTTCATTGGAGTGGAAGGCAGTCCCAGTCATAGCTGCCTCCCAGGAGGTGGCATCTCCCCTCCCCAGCATTTCCAGGCAATTCACTCTGCACTGAGAATTCTAAGGAAAAGGGGGTAACTACAACAGAGTGGGGCTTTCACATGCCCCAAGCAGAGAGAAGGTGCCTCTCACATCCTCTAGCTCTGTTAATAGGGCAGTCCCCCTGAATCTTTCCCAAAGCTCTCCATCTATGAGCCCATCTCATCTGCTCACCACCAGGGGAAGAGGGCCAGCAGGAGCACAGAGCTGTAGCTGCCCCTCCCCATCTTCTTGTTCAGCAGCTAGCACCCCTGAAAACCAGGCAGGCACCCTACAGATGAGAGGAAGATACAGGGCAGGAGGAGCGGTGATGCTCAAGGATTTACACTCCAGTGGTGTAAGTGGGGTCCTGCTGAGTTGCGAGGGCACACTCAGGACCCCTAAGGGGAGGTCTGGGAGGCACAGACGGAGAGGAGCAAAAGCAAGTGCTCCTCTTTCTTGGGTGCCTCAGGCTGGGGAGGGGGAGGCTGAGCTCAAAGGGGGAAGGCAGGGGTTCAGATGCAGGGAGAGAGCTGGGGCAGAGGTGAATGGGAATACAATGGGGGCCCCCCAAAAAGGAAAGGGGAGCACAGTAGGGGGAGAGGAATGGGATTGGGGCAGCTGACACTTGAGGCAAGGAGTGAGGGAGGGTAGGTGGGATAAAGGAAGAGGAGTTAGAGGCCTGGAAAAGGTGCACGGGCCAGGCAGAGCAGGTAGAACACAGGGCAGGGGGGTGGGAGGGGGTGGTTCACCAGGCCTGGACTCCCAGGACAGCAGTGGCCACCTGCACAAGAAGTGGCATAAGGGGTAGCTGGGGCACAGGCTTGAGAGTGGCCTGCAGAGGGGTGGGGAGCACGTGACATAACAGGCTTGGTGATCCTGGTGGTCCAGAAGCCACCCTCCGTGGGTGACTCGTGTCCAGATCTCTCTTATGCTTTTTAGGGCCGCGTGAGTGGCCATGGTCCCAACTCACAGCACCTGTGACAGCCACAGCCAACAGCCCCTGGCTCACTGGTTAAGTTCCCGCAACAGGAAGGGGGCGAGTAGGCGGCTGCCATCCCCCCATGGCCAGCGACAGGGCCTCAGTCCTACCTAGCCCGGCGTCCCCTAAGGCCTGCAGCGGCAGGGCCCGGAGATAGGAAGCCTGTGCAACAGTGGGTGTCTGGGCGGGCTCCGCGGGGGGCGGGGCAGCCAGATGCGAAGACGCCCTCCGTTGGGGGAACGGAGACCCAGCCTGGAAACAAAAAGGGGCCAGCCGGGGCGCAAGTGGGAGGAGACTCCTTGGCCCAGGTCGGTAGGATGCAGCCGGCGACGAGACGTGGTTTGCGTACGTGTGCATCGGCTTGTTCAAGTCATTTGCTGCCTTTGACTCTCATTATCTTCCCTGGAAAAGGCGGGATCCGGACGAAGACAGATCCTTTCCGGCTCTTGCAGCCTGGCTTTCAGGAAGGGAAACCCGGCAGACGGCCGTCTGCGGAGGCGGACGGGGCAGGTGGGACAGGGTGGGTGCACTACTCCGCAGAAACCGGCCCCGCGAGCGTGGCCCGCTTCCCGCGCTCGGCCGACCCGGGACACGCGGCCGCTCGGTGCCTGGCGCTGCCCCCCGTCCCTCCCAGGCGGTGGGAAGGCGCCCCCCAGACCCGGCGCTGCGTCTCATCAGCCCACCTTCCCTGCCCCACCCCGCGTAGCTCCGGGGCACCCCTCGTGGGGCCGGAGAAGCCGGACGCCGCCTGCCTGCAGATGGCGCTACGGTCCCGCATCAGGTTCGAAGGCACCGGAGGAAGGATGACCTCATCAGTCCGGGCATTACACCCCCCAAATCCCCAAGAGGACAATAGAGAGAGAGAGAGAGTGTGTGTGTGTGTGTGTGTGTCTGTGTCTGGTTATTGGAACTTTAAGATTTGGAGATCCGTTATTTGGGTTTGGACCCGTCTCATGTCAGGAAAGGAAGGAGGGGGATCTCTCATCAGAAGGAGCTCTAAGAGCAAGAGATCTGAGCTCTCTTTTTATTAGCTGTGTGATCATGGACCTGTAGGTAACCTCTCTGGGCTGAACTTGACCTGCAAAATGGAAACCTCCAGAATTGCAAGAGCACCTGAAGCAGCCTGCAGCGTCTTGCTGAGGCCTGGCAACTGCAGACACAGGGTACATGGAAGCGCCCGCTGCCCTCAGCTCCGGCTAATACCCTCTGAGATCTGAGAGGCAGCAGGTGTCTACCCGCCATCTCCTGGGCCCAGCCCTTGTTTTGGTTGTTGGGGTGGACAGGCAAGTGGGTAGAGGGGAAGGAGGTGCAGAGTGTCCCCTGGGATCCAAGCTTTTTGCTCCCACAACTAGCCTGCTTCTGTGTTTGGTCAGACCTAGCACAGCAATCCTTCTTCCTAGCAGGGACGCCCCCTCCTTCACCCCGAAGATGATGACACTGCTGTGCTCCCTGCTGTGGGACAAAACACCGAGACAGAGAAAACTACCAGTGACCCAGACCCAAAGAGGCTCTTCCACAGTGTCAAGGGGTGCCAGCGCCTGTAAGTCAATCAAATCAGGAAGATGCTTTTGATATACCTGATGGAGGGCACAGGGCCGCAGTTAGGTCAGGAGAGCAGCCCGCAGCTGGAGTGGAGGGTAAGATGGGTTACTGGGCATACTGGTGTGGCGGCTGCTCCCCAAATGGTCATTCACTTCTCTGCCTGCTCAGAGATGGCTGCCTTCCTGGGCTTGTGACTGCTGTAAGGAGCTGGCCCCAAGCCCACAGTGAGGAAGAGTCATGGAATGAGCATTCCCTGAACATGCCTAATATAGCCATCCCAGGGCCCTGTGCTCCACTCTGCCCCGTCACCCCTGAAAGTGGCTCTGGCTAATGATTCCAGGCAGCAGCAATGGTCAGGAGCAGACCCCAGCTAAGGCCTAGTTTCCTTGGCCTGGTCAACCCAGTCAGTGGGGAGCCCTCGACCCAGGCTTGAGTCTTTCCCTCGCACTGGACTTTCCGCAGATATGAACCTGTTACATGGTCAACCTGGGCTGGCATGTCAGGGACCCTGAGCCTCTAGAGTCCTCCATGGGGCCTAAGGTGAGCATCAGGACCCCTCAGGACAGTACAGAGGTGGGGGGGCACGGTCATTCACAACTAAAGGCTTGTATATATTATCAAAATCTTATGGAAAAACAGATACACGGCTATTTATACAACAGCAGGTGGGTGTGAGGGAAATGTCTGCTTTGGCATCAAACCTTCAGGACCAGCTGCTGTCTGTCCCTCTCCTCCCAGCTGGAGCCCACTTCCCACCAGGCCAGCTGCCCCTGCCATGTCCTCTGATCAGCCCAGGAGGGATCTGAGGGTATCCTCGGCCCCTCCTCCTTCTTCCCTTGGGCCCTCGTGCCCTTCTCAATCTTCTGCCATTGTCCCACACAGAGGGCCACGGGCCCAGCAGCTTTGCCCCAAGGGCTCCTCAGAGGCCTGAA